TGAACTGCTTAGCTTACGACGAAGCCATCATGGCACAGCAGGACCGCATCCAGCAGGAGGTGAGAGTTTCCCCGCTTCGTTAACACCCCCCTCCCCCTCGCTAATTAATTCATTAACCCCCCTCGCTAATTAATTACGACACCCCTCCCAGATCGCTGTGCAGAACCCACTGGTGTCGGAGCGCCTGGAGCTGGCGGTGCTGTACAAGGAATACGCGCAGGACGACCACATCTACCAGCAAAAGATCAAGGTAGGCACCAGTACACACCAGTACACACCAGTACGCACCAGTACACACCAGTATGGCGCTGGAGGTGTTCCCACCTGTGGCACTGAGAACCCCTTTCAGCTCTTCTATCCCTTTAGGGTGTCCCTTGCTGTCCCCGTGTCCCTTTAGGATGTCTGTTCTGTCCCCTTGGCACGTTCTTGGTGTCCCCATGTCCCCAGCTTGTCCCTGTACCCCTTTAGGAGTCCTCGTGTCCCCTTGGTGTCCCCGTGTCCCTTTAAGGTGTCCCCATGTACCCCAAGTGGTTCTGGTGTCCCTAGGCTGTCCTTTAGAGTGTCCCTATGTTCCTTTAGGGTGATCTCACATCACCTTGGTGGTCCTGGTGTCCTCTGGGCTGTCCTTATGTCTCCTTTGGGGTCTCTTCACGTCCCCTTCCTCTCAATGTCCCCATGTCCCTTTAGCATGTCCTCGTGTCCCCTTGGTGTCCCTTTTGGGTGTCCTCGTGTCCCCTTGGTGTCCCTGTGTCCCTTTTGGGTGTCCTCGTGTCCCCTTTGGGTGTCTTCATGTCCGCTTGGTGTCCTGACCTTTTTGGGTGTCCTCATGTCCCCCTTGTGTCCCTGTATCCCTTTTGGGTGTCTTCGTGTCCCCTTGGTGTCCCCATGTCCCTTTTGGGTGTCCTCGTGTCCCCCTGGTGTCCCTGTGTCCCTTTTGGGTGTCCTCGTGTCCCCTTTGGGTGTCTTCATGTCCACTTGGTGTCCTGATCTTTTTGGGTGTCCTCGTGTCCCCTTGGTGTCCTCATGTCCCCTCTGGATGTTCTTTTATCCCCTTGGAGTCCCCCTGTCCTCCTGTCCTCTTTGGGTGTCCTCCTGTCCTCTTTGGGTGTCCTCCTGTCCCTTTTGGGTGTCCTCCTGTCCCCTTTGGGTGTCCTCGTGTCCCCTTGGTGTCCTCATGTCCCCTTTGGGTGTCCTCCTGTCCCTTTTGGGTGTCCTCGTCTCCCCTTTGGGTGTCCTCCTGTCCCTTTTGGGTGTCCTCCTGTCCTCTTTGGGTGTCCTCCTGTCCCCTTTGGGTGTCCTCATGTCCCCTTGTGTCCTCCTGTCTCCTTTGGATGTCCTCGTGTCCCCTTGGTGTCCTCCTGTCCTCTTTGGGTGTCCTCCTGTCCCCTTTGGGTGTCCTCGTGTCCCCTTGGTGTCCTCCTGTCCCCTTTGGGTGTCCCCACATCCCTTTGGACGCCCTCACATCCCCTTTTCCACACCCTTGGCATCCCCTTGATGTCCCCGCACCCCTCTTTACCCACCCTTTACCCTACCCCCTACCACCCCCCAGCGCTCCCACGTCCCCTCACGTCCCCTCTCGTCCCCTCACATCCCTTTTTTGGGTCCCCTTTCTTTCCCCAGGACCTCCTGCAGAAGTATTCCTACATCCGCAAAACGCGGCCGGATGGAAACTGCTTCTACCGCGCCTTCGGTTTCGCTCACCTGGAGGCACTGCTGGAGGACAGCCAGGAGCTGCAGCGGTGGGTGCTGCTGTCCCCAAGTTCCCCCCTCCCTCCCCCCACCCCACAGCCGTGTCCCCAAAGCTCAGTGCCACCCCTGCGTCCCACAGCTTCAAGGAGATCTCGGCACGCAGCAAGGACGAGTTGGTGGCCCAGGGCTTCACCGAATTCACGATCGAGGATTTCCACAACACGGTGTGGGGACGTCGGGGGGGGGGTCGCTGGGGTTGTGGGGTGGGGGGATGCGTGGCGGTGGCGTGGCTTCACCTGTGGGGTGTCATACGTGTCCCCGTGTCCCCGTAGTGTCTGCGTGTCGCTGCGGTTTGTGCCTGTGTCGCATCACACGTGATACATCCCACGTATGATGTGTGTAGGGAGACGTGTAGCCCTGCGTGTGAACCCGTGGGGATCCGTGTAACGCCGTGTGTGGCTCCATGGCAACGCGTGTAACCCCGTGTGTGATGTCACGTGTGACTCCGTCGTGGCGCATCGAACCCCCCAGTCACACGTGTGACCCCATAACCGTGCGTGTGACCCCACAACTGTGTGTGTGTAAGCCATGCAGGATCCCATGAACACACGTGTAGCTCCCCGCAGGACCCCACAGCCACGTATGTCAACACGTGCAGACACAGATAACCCCATGACCCCCCCCTCGTGACCCCACAACGACATGTGTAAGCCCTGTATGACCCCATTACAAGCCAAGTAACCCCATGTATGACCCCGTGGTGACACGTGTAACCCCATGTTTGACCCCATGGTGACACGTGTGACCCCATGGTGACACGTGTAACCCCATGCTGATACATGTAACCCCATGGTGACGCATGTAACCCCATGTATGACCCCATGATGACACATGTGACCCCATGGTAACGCATGTAACCCCATGTGTGACCCTGTGGTGACACGTGTGACCCCATGGTGACACATGTAACCCC